CTTCCTCACCATCACTATCCCCTATATCAAATCTGATGCCAAGGCCTGTCCATTTTACCTTTGCCACATCTCTTGGATAAGTCCCCTTCTCTCCCCTGACACTGCCACTACTCTGGTATAAGTCTTCATCACCTCAAACCTGAATTATGGCAATAGCCTGCTGGTGGGTCCTCCTGCCTCAAGTCTCTCCCTAGTCCAATATATCCTCCATTCAGCCACCAAAGTGACTTTCTTAAAGTGCAGGTCTGACTATGTCATCCACCTACTCAGTAAATTCTAGTGCTCCCAATTGCCTTCAGGATCAAATGTAAAATCTTCTGTTTGGCATTCAAGGGCCTTCTTAACCTCGCCTATGCCTACCTTTCCAGTCTTTTTATACCTTATTGCCCGCCACACCCTCTCTGATCCAGTAGTACTGGTCTCCTTGCTGTGCCATGAACAAGACACTCCATCTCCAGATGCCCGGCACTTTCTCTGGTTGTCTCCCATACCTAGAATGCTCCCTTTCCTCATTTCTGTCTACTGCCTTCCTTGGCTTCCATTTTCTTTATGGTTTATAAGTGCATACTGTATTTTAAACAAGTAAATGAAACCTTGAACCTGCTGGACCAAGCCAAATTTAGACTTAGTCCATAGTAAGAATAAGCCAAAGAGTCCCTCAAAACTTAACTTAGAATTAAAAAAAAAGATGAAACACAGGCCATATAAGCCCAGGCAGAGTTTCTGCGTATGTTTCTAAAATGTCCTTTTCTGGTGACTGTCCACATCAGTAAGAGGATAAATGACAGGCAATCTAGCTGCAATTCAGAAAGACTTCTTACTGCATTTTCAGCCCAGTCTTATCCACAGCTAGAAAGATATACAGTAGCCTAAACCCATGTTGGGATCTCACTCCAAGGCGGGGTTCCCATCAGTGGCTGGTGTCACCAGAGGGAATATAGTGACACAAAGGTCAGTCATGGGGCTGGCATCATCAGCATTCCTATCAATTAATTGCCTACGGCTAGTAAACAAACAGTGGGCAGCGAGATATGGCAGTGGATAGAGTGCGAGGCCTCATCTTCCTGAGTTCAAATCTGATTTTAGGGACGTACTAGTTGTATGACCCTGAGCAAGTCACTTAACTCTGTTTGCCTCAGTTTTCTCATCTGTAAAATAGCTCGAGAAGGAAATGGCAAACCTTTACAGTGTCTTTGCCAAGAAAACCCCAAATGGAGTCACAAAGAGTTGGACATGACTGAAAGTGACTGAGCAACAGCAGTAAGCAGAAATCCCTAGTATCCTTCAGAGCTCAGCTTAAATGCCACTTCCTCCTATGAATGTCTTTATTGATCTCTCCAGTTGCTAGTACCCCTCCCCAAACTACTCTGCATGCACTTTGCATATAGTTCCTGTTCACTTGTGTGTCTTTCTGATATTGCCCTTAACATAATGTCAGCTGTTTGAGAGCAGGGGCTGTTTCATTGGTGTCTTCATAATCCTAGTGCCTAGCACGACGGCTGACAGTAAAACAGGTGCTTAAGAAATGCTTGTTGAATGAATTGATAAAGGAATGAAGTATGCAAGTAGACCCAAGGAGGACAGGGTTGCTAAAGAGCTGCCAAAATGATGAAAGAGAGGAGATCAGACTTCTGAGGAAAGCTTGAGAGTAGTGGTAGAGAAGGGAGTTCTATAAGGAGATATACAAATTTTCAAGCAGGCAAAGTGATACCTTAAAGACCGGTTTCCTCATCCTATTCCTCCATGGAAGAAAAAGAAGCAGGCTGACCCTATAGCAAGAGAAGCACAAGGATATCTCACCCCAGGACAGTCTACTAAAGGTGCATGGAATGGCCAGCCACTTCTAGAAAGACACCCACTGCTCTTGCACAGTTTGGGGGTTGACCAACATGAGGTCATTCCTGGAGGCTGGAGGCCAGACTGAATGACTTCTGTTCCTTCTTTACAAGCTTGGTTATGTGCAAGAGTCCTTGCTATTTTGATGACTATCCAGACCTGGGAAGATGCTATTTCTCTACTGAATTCCTTCCACCATAGGGATTTCCAAAATAACTGGAGAGATTAGCAACCGCAGGTATTGCTTGTGTGGTATAAGAGGTGGGAATCACTTTGGAAGCTTTTTCTCTTCCATACGATGAGGACAGTGCAATTATCCTAACATGCTACTAGGAAGGCAGTAAATACTCTTCTCTAACCGTGCCTTTTTTGGGAGGATTCTGACCATGATATGATGTTTTTACTCTTCATCTCCAGCCCAATATGTCTTGGGCTCTAGTAACAGCAGTGCCTTGGCTTCTATATACAAAAATGACATTCTTGACCCCCTTTCAACAAGTCCTCCCCTCTGAGCTGAGTCCCCAGCAATGGACCCGGGGTGACTTGAGACATTCACGCAATTTCAGACAGCCTTCCTTATGTTCAATGGCACATATCTGTGAGATTCCTGGCCAGAGTTACGGGGCTCTTTGGAACCAGAGATAGGGTAATTATCCTAAGGTGAATCTGGCGTCAGGTTTATAGAGCTGATCTATAGCCCGGGAACAGGATGAAGTCCACTGAGTCATGTGCGAATCAAACTTATCACCTTGGACTTAATTATGCCCACCAAGTCCTAACAAAAGCATAACCTGACAAAAGCAAATCCTCTAAGTGGTCTATGGGCTCTATGGGCTCTCCTATAGCATTGGAGCATATATAACTTTTTGTTTCTGATGTAGAGTAATCATTTTTTAAAATGCTCCTCCCCAAAGTCTCATCCAAAACAAAAATTGCCCTCCTCTGAACTTACTGAGATTTTATTTATTTATTTTTTTGAAGTGACTATCTGGAAAGGGCTTTGTCTGTAGACCTGAGAGTTGTAAATGACTGTTCTAAGCTACAGAACCAGCTCAATGTTGTCTCTTGACCTGATGGTGCTAGGAGAGAACTATCTATTGTGACTCTGCAGTGACTCCCACCTGTGACCTCCTCAGCTCTTGGGCAAAATCTACTTCTGTTTGTCAGTCCCTAATGAAGAGAATATCTGGCTAGATGGTCAGGAGAGGAGAAAGTATGTTTAGCACCGGTGGGCTCTCTTAGGGCCAGACACCCCACTTCAGTGCACACCTCCTACCTATCATCTGTGCCACCATCTCTCTTCCTTGCTTCTTTTCTGACACTCTGACCTGCGAACCTTCTCAGTGCCTGGACCTCTGGTCACTTCATCAATGATTGAAGGAATGGAATTTGAACGTGACATCTGGTTGGTCACTAAACAGAGGATGTAAATATGTTCACTTCAAAGAAAAACATATCAGACAAGAGTCGTTCAGGTTTAGAGATCTCTGGGAGGAGGGAGGGTTAATGTTCAAGATCCATCATTCTGTCTAAACTGGAGTTTATTGTCTTGTTATATTTTCCTTTTATGAGTCATAACTCTCCATGTAAGTGGAAGTTAATTAAAGGCTCTTGCATAACTTAAAACTCAGCGGACAATCCTGAGATGGGGAAGATAAGTGTTTCTAAAATTAAGAATTCCTTCTCCCTGAACAACAGTTTTAATAAAAGATAATGTTAAAAAATATCTGGTGACTATACTACAACAATGTAAATAGAAATAAAACAAATTTTAAAAAAAACTTTGAATTTGAAACTTATGTAATTATAATGACTAAGTTTGGCCTCAGAGAGGAAAGGAGAAAATACATTTCCCTTCCTTCTTTGCAGTGATGGGGAACTTATGGTGGGATATTACACATACTTATTCAGACTGTTGATACATTGGGAATTTTTGTTCAGTTGTTTCCCTTTCCACTCTTCAACCTTTCTTTTTTATTCTCTAGATAGGGTAAAAGTGACATATGCTTAGAAATGAAGGTGATATGAAAAAGATAGCAATAAAATTAAGAATTAATAAAGTGCCCAATGAGGATAAATAATAGGTTTAATACAGTAGAGAAAAGTTAATGGGTGGCATTTTAATAGCTCAATGATAGAGCCATTCTTTGACAAAATTAACCCTCTAGAAAATCTGATTAAATTTCAGTAATGCAAAAGACTGCCCTCTATGTGGAAGAGCTGAAACAAGGAATTGCTTTGGGTCTTTGGGTTTCAACACAGGAAATGATAGCCTTACCCAGCTCCTCTTCCAATAGTATGGAGTGACCCCTTTCACTTACTCAGTCACCCCAACCTACCTCCAGGAGATGAAGTGAGAATCTGCAGAATGGGCTGATGGCTCAGGCTGTATCAGCCTTTCCACTGAACCCCTTCCTGAGGGAAAAGCCCTATTCCTGGCATTTAAGAACTGGTAGATGAGGAAGAGGAGGTTAGACTTCTGAGACTAGGTTTAGGAATGACACCGAGATGGCCTAATGAATTCTTCAGGTGCTTTTTTTTTTTTTTGCTTCTTAATAACAAGACATAAATAGAATGGTCTCCCAGCGGAGCCTATGAATTCATAGCATTTGAGTACATCCCAAAATCTGAGAATCTGCATTTTAAAAAAAAGTAGCAGGATTACTTTAAGATTAGTGTGGAAGAATAGAGCTAATATTAGTGTTCCTGTTTCACCAACTTTTATCGAGCTTGACTTGTGTGACAATGATGATTCAGAGATGTGATTTGATCTGTGATCTGTTGATAATGGGGCTCCATTTATCTTCAAAATAAAATTTTTTTCTTCCCCCTGACCTCTTCTAGCTTCTATACAGTTGGAACAAAAAATTCTCTCTGTGGGTTCCATTGCTGACATGTTTGGTCTAAGCTGTAGAACATGTAGTGAATAACAGAGAACTCTTATCCACTGAGTGGAAGTTCTGCCCATTTCATCAGGAGGAATCTTGTAGCGTTCTAGAGGGCTGAGGCTCTATTCTTTTATCTTTGCTGCCTTACCCTTAGTGAAAGCAATTGGGAAGAATTGAGCAACTGGAAGAAGCTAGAACAGAGAAGGAGGAAGAAGGGGAAGAAAGGAGAAGAAAAGCACATAGACTTTTCTTGCCATCTGGCCAGGACCAGCCTACCTAATATGAAGGCCACCACGTAGTTGGAGATCTGGCCCATGCCCACGATGACAAACAGCACAGTGAACATCTCCCAGTTGATGGAGAAGATCTGCAGGAAACTGAAGCCTGTCTGCACAGCCATAGTCGCAAAGAGGATATTCTTTCTGCCGAACCTTAAAGACACAATGAAACACACACACACATCCGGCATCAGGTTATAGAAATGTCAGAGTTTTCAAAGGGACTAAGATTCTCTGGGTTCAGGCAAACATTAGCATCAAGACTTGTTTGAACTGAAGTAAGCAGAACCAGGAAAACAAGATACACAGTGATTCCAAAAATGTCAATAGAAAGAACAAAAACATCCCTGAAACTGAATACTGCCTAATTATAATGCCCAATCTGGGGCTCTAAGAGGAGATAACAAAATTTATCTCCCTCCCTACTTTGCAGATACGGGGCACCACGAGTGCGGAGAATTGCATATACTGTAAGGTTTCGTTGGTGGACTGGTTAGTTTTGCTTAACTATGGCCACCCCCTCCATTTAAAAAAAATTCTTTGTTACAAGGAATGGTTCAGTTGAAAGGGGATGGAGAGGAGGAATAAATTTGGAAGTCAAGTTGATGTAAAAATCAAATCACAATGCATTAAAAAAATTGACATCAAAGGAAGTTTCATTTCTCAGACAAGGAGTTTGCCTCCATGAATTTACCTGACTGAATATTCATAAAAGCCTCCATTTTTTCTCTGAGGTGAGGAAGTTGGGTCAGAGGAGCTCTAAAGTCAATGGATGATCCCTGGGCACCACACAGTCACGTAGATTCATAATCACAGAGTGACTGACTCCCTCAGCTGCATGACCAGCCCTCCTCACTTCCTCTTGTCCCCTGAAGCAGTGATTCAGGCACTGCTGGGTGGGCCACTTGGAGGTGAATGATCAGCAGAGAATTCTCTTCTCATTGACTGGGGGCCTTTGCAGAAGTCATCCTCATCTCCCTTAATTCTAGAGCCTTCCATCTGTTATTATCTCCATTTTATCCTGTGTACGTAACCATTTGCATGTGGTCTACCCCATTAGACTGTGAGCTCCCTGAGGGCAGGGACTATCATTTGCACTTTGTATCCCCAGTGCTTATCACAATGGCTGGCACATAGCAGGCATTTAATAAATGCTTATTGACTAACTCTCAGTCCCTCTCAGGCAACTCTCTAAGACTGAAAGTTGCTGATTCATTAAGTCGATCTGAGATTCCTTACCTGGAATTCCCTGCATCAATGCAAGCGTAGGTCTCCAGGTCCCACCCCTCCACCTCAAAGCAAAAACCGAAATCAAACAACAAAATCCAAAACTTGTCACCTGAGAAATGACCACGTGGGAGATGACCAGGCATAGATTCTTATACTTAATATTACAAAGTTCCATGACTTTGCTGGTATGGAAATTCTCTTCACCACTATAGATTCCCTCCCTCCCTTAATTACTTGGAAAACAGTCTTCAAGAGTTATTGCTTCCAAAAGCCTCCTCACTTTGGTGCAATCAGCTTTCCCCATTGCTCCTGTCCCTCAGCCTTTTGAATCCTAAGCCACAGCAGGAGGGGAGGGGAGCATCCTCCAGGCCTGCAATGCCTTTGTCCCTGTCGCTCCCACATAATCAAAATAGGGTCCCTGTCACTTCTTTTATCTGCTTCATTAGCCATATACCACCTAAACTGCACTGGCTGGGGATGAGACAGGAGGGAGGGGCTACCCATCCTCTGGCTTGGGTGCACACCTGTGTGCACCAGTCCTTGTTGTTATTTTATTTTATTTTATTATTTGTATTTTTGCTAGGCAATGGAGTTAATTGACTTGCCCAGGGTCACACAGCTAGTGAGTGTTATGTGTCTGAGGCCAGATTTGAACTCAGGTCCTCCTGACTCCAGGGCGGGTGCTCTATCCACTATGCCACCTAGCTGCCCTTGTTGTTATTTTAATAAAATATTAGGATAAAAGGCCAAAGAATTTAAAAGGGAAATTTTTTTTACCAACTTTATCATGAGTCTGGACTTAGCTAAGTTGGTCCTTATATGATAGAAACAAAGTTTTTCAACAGGATTGGACTCAAATTTAGAATTTGTTAGAACTTGGGCTCTGCTGGCTGGAAAAGCAGCCGTTGAGAACTGGGGTCATTTCCATTCCATAATGAGGAACCAAGGTCTGCAGCAGAGTCTAAATGCTTCCTTTATTAAAAAAGATCAATTTAGAAGAAAAAAAGATTTTCTTCCAGAGAGAAATGCAGGCTGCTTAGGATACTGTAGCTACTCAGCGTCTGCTAGAACCAGAGCAAGTAGCAGCAGCTGCGGGCTGGCTGGGAGGGGTAGCAAGAAAGAAATAGGGCATAGATCCAGTCTCCCCAGCTGAGGGTTAGTATTAGGAGATGGCTGCCCTTTGTACTAAGGGGAGAATGAAGGTGACAAAATATGTCACTTCTTGAGAAGTCAGAAAGTTTCATGTTTATGAAGTACAGTCAGTCACCAGACCTGTGTTCTAGTCACTAATTAGACGCTAATCACTTGGTCACTAATTAACTGTGTGAGTGTGGATGAATCACTTCTCCATTTTCTGAATCTGTCGACTGTGATAATCAAAACTGATGCCCCGGGGTGTTTTTGAAAAGCGTGAGGCGTTGTACAAATATAAGGTTTTCTTTATACCACTGGTGCTGAAACCTCTTTCTTCCACTAAGTATTTTGTTGAAATCTCCTTTAGGCTGTTGCCTAATGGCAACATGTACTGAGATGCACAGTTCAAGAATCTCCATTTCCTTTCACCTTCACCTGAGAGTCATTAATAAACATTTATTAAATGCCTACTATGTGCCAGCCATTGTGGTACCCATTGGGGATACGAAGAAAGGCAAAAGACAGTCCCTGCCCTCAAGGAGCATACAGTGTAATGGGGAAGGCCATACAAACAGTTACTACAAACAAGCTATACACAGGATAAAATGGAGATAGTAACAGAAGTAAGGCACTAGAATCAGAAAGGAGGATCTGCCCTTATTCACAGGCCAGGAGGAAAGGCCACTCTGTGCTGGGGTATTATTCTGGAATTAATGGTGAATGCTACCTATAGTACTTTTAAAAAAAATTGTTTTAGGCAGTTGGGGTTAAGTGACTTGCCCAGGGTCACACAGCTAGTTAAGTGTCAAGTGTTTGGTCTGAGGCTGGATTTGAACTCAGGTTCAGGGCTGTTGCTGTATCCACTGAGCCACCTAGCTGCCTCTAACATATAGTACTCTTCATGAACATCTGTACACCATGGAGGAAAATCCCCAGGTCATCGGTAGCAAAGTCTTCTCTAAAATCCAGCCAAACCTCATAAGTGGACGTCGGCTTATATCGTACCTTGTTTAACTCAAAGCGGTGGCTGACCTTCTGCTAACTAGGTGCCTTCTCATTTCTTAAAGAAGAATTGGGCTGCATTCTCCATTATTAATTCATGCTCTGTTTTTGATTTGGTGTATTTTGAATGAATAAGGCATAAAGATTTTTATTGAACAAATTCCTGCATCAGATGTTGAGAGAAAAGGGTGGGTTATAGGACTCACCTGCCACCACCACTAGTATTATTCCATTTTTTCCTTTTCTAGGACTTAGTGAACTTTTGTAGTTTCTCTGAGGGAGCTGGGGCAGGGGATCAGGGATTGAACTGTTGGTAATTAATGACCAAAGCCCTGGTCCTGGAGGAAGTGCTGCATTCCTCCTGACTCTTATCTATCTCTATAGAGAGTAGTATAAAAAGAGAAACAGGGTGAGAAAGAAATTGGGAAGATTGTAAGGTGGCCAGAGGGCACAAGTGAAAATTCTGTTGACTTTTGAGGTCTCTCTGGGTAGGAGTGAGTGAGGTCACTATTGCTGTGGAACTCTTGAACTGGGGAAGAATTTGAAAGACCAGCTCTATCTCTAAGCGGCATCACACTCACACTGTATAAGGCCAGAGACAAGAGGCAGCTGGATAAGGGGCTCTGCCTCTTATCTTGTCCTGCTGAACCCTCACGACCCTCAGGTCTGCTTGGAGGTACTATGGAAAAAGGCCTCATTCCTGCTGCTTGCAGGAGTCAACCACAGGGAGGTTGTAGTGGCCTTCATTAATCAGGGTTAAAGAAAAAGCTAGCCCTAGTCCTCTGGATATTGACAAAGCTGACCAATTGAGGATGTCCTCAAGCCTGGACACAGGCCCTCTTTACCTGTCTGAGAGTTGTCCTGATATGAAGGATCCCATCAGCACACCCACGAAGAACAATGAGGTTGTTAGTGGGGGTTTCCAGCTTTCATCACAGACTATATTCCACTGCCAAACAGAAACAAACCACGTTAAATGTTGTTGAATCACCAGAATGGACCTGAGAGTTTCAAGATAGTTGCCTGGCAATGAAACACCTTTACTCTAAGGTCCAGATTAAAACCGAGCAGATCTGTAGGAATGATGGTTAGAATCACTTAACATATCAATGAGGTAGATTCTGCCCATGCTCAATATGAGCTCACAGTGCTATTTGAAATGTATTTCTCTAATAGAAATCTTACATCCTCGGTCTTATGGATTATCACCTCAGAAACTAGCTGAGTCTAACAGACAGGATACACCAACACCTGTATAGACCATGGAGGTAGCAGCAGCAGGGATAGGCATGGAGAGGGGACAGACACGTGGTTGGGAGTACGAAAGTCCCTTCCTTTGTTCTGAGATTGTCCCTGAATCATCCTAAGAGTAATCCCCATTACTGTACTTTGGAAGATTATCATTCTATACATAGTAAACACAAATAAAAGCAAACATTCAAATAGCAAACAATGATATAATACAACTAATTAAATATGAAACTATAAGCTTTATAGTTTATTTTTTAAAAGTATAGATTAATTTTTATCACAATAGCAAAAATAAAATGTCCAGTTTGCTTCCCCCTGCTCCCCCCTTTTAAATGTGTTTCCTGGGATACTTTTGCTGCCATTATTTACATAGTCATTACTCCAGCCATAGCTGTAGGATGTGCCTGGTAAACCATCTAGGCAGATGGGCTAAACTAGGTTGAATGTAACCAACAGGCCACAGACCTGTTGGTGAGTTAGGGAGGTGTCTACCCCAGGTATATGAAGTTTGCCCTTGGAAGAATGGGTGGATGAGAACAATTTGTGGAGTGCTTAGAGCTTGGTCAGCCATCAAAGATGCCAAGGTCCTCTACCACATCCCTAACTTTTGTCTTGCAACTGGATGACTCTAGAAGAGAGAATGAGGCTGACAACTTTGTGCAGTTCTGCCTCACTTAAATCCATTTCATGTGTAAGTCAAGATATCACCGTTGTGATGTCATCAGTTCTCTTCGAAAATGAAGGCCAAACAATAACATACTGGGCTATGGGTCTGTTTTCTTCTTTATCGTCATTTTATGCAAGTCTTCTCATCATATTTCTTTGTATTTGTCATTTGTTATTTTTTAAGATAGCACAATAAGAGGAAGCGGCTGTGTGGCTGAAGAATCGAGAGGTCCCCTTTCTGCCACATCCTACTTGTGTGACCCTCGGTTCCAACAGTGTATTTTGTTGTTATTGTTGTTGCTCTTGGTAGAGGTAGAGGGTGGAAGTGTGTCAGGACCTGTGATTTCATTGATGTCAGGAATTCCTGTATGGAAACTTCTTCCACCAATGCATATCAACATCTCTTCTGTAACTTGTACACCGGGAGTTTACAGAGAGCATTGCCAGAAGTAGTGTGACTTGCCTGTGGTCACAGAGTTAAGTATGTGTCAGGGGCAGGACTTGAACCCAGGTCTTTTTGATTCCAATTCTATGCATTTCAAATATATAGTATGAGGTCTATTTCTCCATAAACCTACCAGTTCTGAGTTTCATCATTTAAAAAAAATTTTTTAAATGTTTATTAATTTATTTATTTTTAGTTTTCAATATTCACTTCCACAAGATTTTGAGTTCCAAATTTTCTCCCCATCTTATCTCTCCCCCACCCCACAATGGCGTACATTCTGAATACCCCTTCCCTTAATCTGACCTCCCTTCTGTCACCCCCCCCACCTTCTCTTATCCCCTTTCCCTTCTATTTTCCTGTAGGGCAGTATAGATTTCTGCACCCCATTGCCTGTATATCTTATTTCCCAGTTGCATGCAAAAACAATTTTTAATATTTGTTTTTAAAACTTTTGGCTCCAAATTCTCTCCCTTCCTCCCTCCCCACCTACCCTCATTAAGGCAAGCAACTTGATTCAGGTTATACATGTGTAGTCATACAAACCACTTCCCTAATAGTCATGTTGTGAAAAAATTTCTATGTTTCCCTTCATCCTATCCTGCACCCTGTTCTCTCTTTTGACACTGTCCCTCCTTAGAAGTGCTTGCTTCTGATTACCCCCTCCCCCAAACTGCCCTCCTTTCTGTCACTCCTCCCTGTCTTATCCCCTTCACTCCTATTTTCTGTAGGGTAAGATAAATTTCCATACCCAATTGAGTGTGTATATTATTCCCTCCTTAAGCCAAATCCAATCAGAATAAGATTCACTCATTCCCTCTCACCTTCCCCCACTTCCCCTCCACTGTAAAAGCTTTTTCTTGTCTATTTTATGTGAGATAATTTATTCCATTCTACCTCTCCCTTTTTCTTTGTCCCAGTATAATCCTCTCTCATCCCTTAATTTTATTTTTCAGCTATCACCCCTTCATCTTCAACTCACTCTATGCCTTCTATCTATCTATCTATCTATCTATCTATCTATCTATCTATCTATCTATCTATCTATCTAATTTTTTTCCTCCAACTACTCTAATACTGACAAAGGTATCATGAGTTACAAATATTATCTTTCCATGTAGGAATGTAAACAGTTCAACTTTAATAAGTCCCTTATGATTTCTCTTTCCTGTTTACCTTTTCATGCTTCTCTTGAGTCTTGTATTTGAAAGTCAAATTTTCTATTCAGCTCTGTTCTTTTCATCAAGAATGCTTGAAAGTCTTCTATTTCACTGAATGTCTATTTTTTCCTCTGAAGGATTATACTCAGTTTTGCTGGATAGGTGATTCTTGGTTGTAATCTTAGTTCCTTTGGCCTCCACAATATTCTATTCCAAGCCCTCCACTCCCTTAATGTAGAAGCTGCTAAATCTTATGGTATCCTAACTGTGTTTCCACAATACTTGAATTGTTCCTTTCTGGCTGCCTGCAATGTTTTCTCCTTGACCTAGGAACTCTGGAATTTGGCCATAATATTCCTAGGAGTTTTCCTTTGGGGATCTCTTTCAGGAGGTGATCAGTTGATTCTTTCAATTTCTATTTTATCCTTTGGTTCTAGAATATCAGGGCAGTTTTCCTTGATAATTTCTTAAAAGTTGATGTCTGAGCTCTTTTTTTGATCATGGCTTTCAGGTAGTCCAATAATTTTTAAATTCTCTCTCCTGGACCTGTTTTCCAGGTCAGTTGTTTTTCCAATGAAATATTTCAAATTGTCCTCTATTTTTTTTTCATTCTTTTGGTTTTGTTTTATGATGTCTTGATTTCTCATAAAGTCACTAGCTTCCATTTGCTCCAGTCTAATTTTTAGGGAAGTGTTTTATTCAGTAAGCTTTTGGACTTCCTTTTCCATTTGGCCAATTCTGCTTTTTAAGGCATTTGTCTCCTCATTGGCTTTTTGGATCTCTTTTGCCATTTAGGTTAGTCTATTTTTTAAGGTGTTATTTTCTTCAGTATTTTTTTGGGTCTCCTTTAGCAAGCTGTTGACTTGTTTTTCATGATTTTCTTGCATCACTCTCATTTCTCTTCCCAGTTTTTCCTCTACTTCTCTTACTTGCTTCTCAAAATCCTTTTTGAGCTTTTCCATGGCCTGGGATTGATTCATATTTTTCTTGGAGGCTTTGGATGTAGGAGCTTTGACTTTATTGTCTTCTTTTGGCTGTGTGTTTTGATCTTCCTTGTCACCAAAGTAAGATTCTATGGTCTGACTTTTTTTTTTTTGCGCTGTTTGCACATGATCTCAGCCAATTACTTGAGTTTTAAACTCTTTGTTAAGGTAAGGGTCTGCTTCCCGTGTGGAGAATGTACTGTCCCAAGCTTTAGGGGTTTTGTGCAGCTGTTTTCAGAGATACTTCTAAGGACCTGTAAATTTTCCATTCTTCCAAGATGGTACAATCAAGGGTGAGGTGTTTACCCCTTTCTTGGCCTGTTCTCTGGTCCACGAATGACCACAAACACTCTTTTCTGCCTTAGAACTGTGAGGAGGATTTCCTCTTCATTTCTGCCACAAGCTCCACCACGCCAGCGCTCCCTGCCCCAGGACTGCCATCCAGAACTGTGACCCAGATGCAAGCACAGGCAAAGCGAGAGAATCCTTCCTCAGCACCAGCAAAGATATCCCTGCAATCCCTCTCTGATCAGCCACTCAATCCCCCCTCTGTCTGTGGGCTGAGAGCTCCAGAAACAGCCGCCACCCTAGGGCTGCACCCAGACTGGGGCAAGACAGAGCTTTTCTCTCACTGTGGTCTGACAGACCTTTCCTACTGATCTTCTAAGTTGTCTTTGGTGTTTGTGGGTTGAGAAATCTGGAAATCGCCACAGCTACCCTTGATTCAATCCCCTGAGGACTGCTCCAGGTTTGCCTTGTCCTTTGTCTGCATGGCCCACACTGAATTGGGCTCCTTTACAAGCCCAGCCCAATAAGCCTTTCCAATCAACCATCCAGGTTGTCTTGGGCTGGAAATATGTTTCACTCTGTCTTTTTGTGGGTTCTGCTGCTCTAGGATTTGTTTAGAGCTATTTATTATAGGTATTTGGAGAGGTTTGGGGGAACAGCTCAAGCAAGTCACTGCTTTTACTCTTCCATCTTGGCTCTGCCTCCTGAGTTTCATCATTTTAAACTGTCTTTGACAATTCAATGGATATAAGGTAGAATCTCAAAGTTATATTAGCTTGCATTCCTCTGATTATTAGAACCTTTTTAAATTTGGTTATTATTGGTCATTTATTTTTGTTCTTTTGAGAAGTGACTGTTCATTGAATTTATCGAGGAACACATCTTACTCTCACATATCTGTGTCAATTATTTAGAGATTTTATAATTTTGAATTGATTGTTTGGGGAAGAGCTATTTAAATTTTGTTATTTTATATTTTTCACTTAATAAGCATTTATTGTCCCTTCCTCCCAGCCCCCTCCTTAGAAATAAAGAGAAATAAAATCTTTGTAACAAACATGTCTATCCAAGCAAAACAAATCCCCTTATTGGCTGTGTCCAAAACTGTATGTCTCCTTCTGTACCTCTCATTCATCACCTTTCTGTTAGGAGATGG